CCCCCCCCACCACCACAAAAAAAAAATCCCCTACTCACCTACCCAATCTCTCTCTAGATGAATGGGTTAGGGAGAAGGGTTCATGTCCTACCCAAACTATCCACTAGCTCCAGGTTGTTCTATATAGGTCCCTCTTTTTCTTTTCTAGGTAATATTATTTTCATTTATTTTGGTTCAGCATGTGTGGACTACTCTATCGAGTTGCACGGCTAACTACTGTGACTTGATATAAATTAGTTTCATAGCTCAAAACAAAGTTTAAAGAATGCAAATTAAATAACTCGAGTTAACCCGTTAAAAGTAATATATTTAGTAGGATGACTGGGCGGCTCAAGCCAATTTGAGATCTAAAACGAAAACATTAAATGACGGTCTTTTTATTATTAGTATTATTATTTTAAAAAAATTAATTTATTTTTAATTTTTTATGTGAGAGGAAGACAAAAGAAGAATATGTTAATATTGTCGAGAAAGAAATTTCAATTATTGTTTTTGTTTTCTATCACAGTGAGGGAGAGAGAGTGTTTAATTTCAACTTTTATTTTTGTTTTTTATTTTTTTACCAGAGAGAGAGAGGGTGAGAGTAAATATGAGTTAACTTTTGAGAATTTTTTTTTATTTCTAAATTTTTAATGTTATGAATTGGATTATAGACCCAAATTATTGCCATAAAAATTTTGAAAAAATTTAGAGGCTGGTCCCCTTATATGAACTTATTTGGAGATAAGTCTGTCAAAAAAATTTATTTGGTTTTAAGTCTATTTTTTGTCAATTTTATTATTGTAACCATTCCCGGTATGAATGTTTAGAATAGTTATAAACGACGTTTATGGACACAATAACTAGTCATATACATATCCTTCATAATCGCCTTCAAATCCGACTACAATCTTTCAAGCCACAATATTTCCTTATCCGAAGAATANTCTTTCCAGTAAGCTCACCCTACAGGTATGCCATACCGGTAGGCCTTCCAAAAATTTAAAATTTTTAAACTATTTTGCCATGCCAGGACCATGTGTTCTTCCTTCCAAATGATGTAAATAGACTATAATGGAGTATGAAAAGTGTTACATTAAACCATGATTTGATTAAATGATAAAATGTACATGGGTTACACGTGTGGATTATGATCCTGGTTAAAGGGATACTATTGACGTGATGTCAGGTTGTACGACAATCACGGATACTTCCATGGATTGACGGGTGGTTAACGGTAGAAAAAAGGACCCCAAGTTTTAGGGGGCGTCACACAGAGAGAAAGAAAGAGTAATGGAATAACAAATGACCTTTTAGTTTTTTCTTTAAAAAAAAACACTTAGGATCAAATAAGTTTCCTTAATGTAGTTTAACTCAATTAAGNTTCATAAAATACAATTTCAATTTACTATTCTAGTTTACTTTGGACTTTATCGACAAAATATTAATATTGAATATTTATATTTAAAAAATAACAATAGTAACATACTCAACAAAGACAGTAACATAGTCACTAAAAAAATAGTAACATACTTACAAAAATAAAATTGTAATATGGTAAAAAAGTAATAGCAATCAAGGATTTAATTCTGTCAAAGTGGGCATTAACCTTATAACCAAGATTCAAGAGAACTCATACATTAATACTAAATTAAAGTGTTATAGATTTTAATTTTTTTGATTTTTTTATTGCGCAAGACAGTCGAGAATTCCTTTGTTGTGTTAATGTGGAAAAAGTTTATGTTACTGTACGTGAATCGAAAAACAGAGTTCATAATTTTGATATCTTTATGTTGACAATTGGTGTTGAGTGTCGTAATTCAACTCTTGATTGTGTGTCACTACTAGTCATTTTGTAAATTTTCAATTTATGGATCATATGTTCATTAAAATCTTTTGAAAATTAATGTTACTGTAAAAAAGTTATTGTCTTGTATTTTGTAAAATTAGATATATTACTGAGCATAACACTTTAATGTTACTGCAAATATTAAAGTGTATATTATATAATATACATCTCAAGGTTTACAATTGTATGTTAAATTCACTATAGTAACATTAGTGTTTGTATAATAATACGAATGTACTGGTAATACAATTCTAATTGTAACTTCAATTATATAGTAACAAGAATATTACTATATATTAACATTATTGTTACTGAACTCTATTGACATTTTTCTGCCTCCCTATATTATGTATTACTGTTGTTAAGGAAATTTTGTGATCTGATTTTAACTTAATAGACTAATAATTTATTCGTATATTAAGTTTCACATATATAACTATCAGAATATATAATTTTCATATAATCTTTCGTTAATTATCATAATATTTAATTAACGGTTTCAATATATAACTCAATCAAGAGTTTTCATATATACTTAAATGATCTAACTTATGTGATTTTTCATAACTGGACAAAATTAACACTGTTAGGGATAATTTTGAGATTTAAAAAATAAGTGGACTTAAGTAGTTACATATAAGTTTAAACATGAACTTACCCTCACATAAATTTCCTTCTAAGACTTAAGTCATTATAAGTCCATCTAGGGGATTCACCCTCAATTTTCACAAAATTTTAATTGAATTTAATTTTTTGGTGTTTGTTTGTAGGTTTTAAAATTTAATGGATTTAATTTTTTTTCTACGCTAGTGATGTATCTAAAATTATGGGGCCTTCTAAAAATTTGAGGCCTAAAGCCCATACTTTTTTTTTCCCGTACCGTTGGGCCGGCCTTGTGGGGTGAATTACAATTTCTACCCTTAAAATTCACTCTTAATTTTTATTTGGTCCCTTGACAATTAATTGCACTTAAACTTCACAACTAGTTTGATTAAACTCTCTATGTCAAAATTTGTCTACCTTAATGACAACCATAATTTTGACCGAAGGACATAGATTGAGGCAAATCTGTAGGACATGAGTCAATACATCTAATTGAAGTACTCAAATCTATATCAAATAAGTCAACAAATGTAATTTTAATACATATAAAGTCAAACTTTAGAGCCAACTTATTCAAAATTAATCCCGTAATTGGTTGATGTTTAAGCTCATGTGACTTTTTTCTCTTGGAATTATTGAGGGATTTAATTGTAACAAAACATAAAATTCGAGAACTTGATTGTTTTAATTGATAGTTCGGGTACCGAACAGAAATTAGGTGTAAATTTTTAGGGTACAAATTATAATTTACTCTATTTTATATGGTGAAAATGTGTATGCAAATAGTTTTTCACATTATATTAAATTTCAACATTAACGTAAATACTTGAATAAGTAGATCCCATTAGATAAAAAGTCAATGAACTTACTTACTCGACAATTTATATATTGATTTGATATGTAAAATTGAAAGGATTATTGTGCAAGTGGAGCAGTGTTATTTTATATACGTATTCACAAACAGTAATGTATACATATCAACAAACAGTGATGTATACATATCAACAAGTATGGAGCACAGATAGTAAGATCCACAGACAAAATCATACGATTACAACAAGGAAACCTTAATTAGGTCCAAATTTTCTCGGGTACTACAAAAAAATGGTTTTTACTCAAGAAAACTACAATTTCATCGACAAATAATATGCACCGACCTCCAAAATTAAAAAATATCTTTATTTTATAGCCGAAAAATTCGTAGCTGATAAAACAAATTAATTTTAATATGTTTTTCAATTTGAGCGACAAAATAATTATAGTCATTAAAATTAAATAAATATTTATGTGTTTCGCCAATGAAATGCTTTCCTAGGAAAAAATTAGTCAATTCCCAATCCTCCGTCTTCTCTCCATTCGTCTGATGATCCTTTTCTTCAAGCTCTCTACCATCAAGCACTCTGCCATGGATGATCTCTCCTAAGTCGTCCGCAAGGTATATCTCTGCCATCGACCACTCTGCCATGAGCATAGATCTGTAACGAATGCAAGAAAAGCGAATGTAGTAGATGTTTTAGTGTCTCATTACACTTTTCAAAATTCCCCCTACCTCCGGTTTAATGGTATGTTTGCAACTCAACTTATTTTATTTACTTATGTCAACCTCATAAGTTTACATTCAATCATAAAAAAGTGAGTCGTAGTGGCGTTAGGAAGTTTAGGGTGAACATAATAAAAATCCTTTGTGGATTGTTTGTTATAGTGATTATAGGACATTGTTTGTCATTAGTTTGAACTGTGCTGATTTCTCTATTTTGTCATTTCGTTTTTCATATGATGGCGGCAAACAATTAATTTTAGGGTTAATAATCGTATTTTTGATCCCTAAAATATGTACATTTGACCAGTTTGTTCCATAAAATATCAATTTTATCCATAATGTATTCAATTCGTGTTAAAATAGTCCCTATGCCAACGGACGATTCAATTTTTGATGGAGTAATCATGTGTTGGTCACGTAATATCATCTGAAAGTATGACACGTGATCACTTACGTTAAAAAATTTGACGAACTGTTTAATTAGAGACCAAAGTGACATGAATTAAAATTTTAGAGATCAAATTGATAAATTTAATGCATAGAAGACCAAACTGACATATTTTAAGGAGTAAAAATAGTACTACCCATAATTTTATGCATACTATAAATAAAAAGCAATTATCTAGCCGTCCTTAAACTCTTATGTCAGTGGTTTCTTTGTTAAATTTTAAGGAGTAAAAATAGTACTACCCATAATTTTATGCATACTATAAATAAAAAGCAATTATCTAGCCGTCCTTAAACTCTTATGTCAGTGGTTTCTTTGTTAAA